TTACCTACAAATCCTGACGTAAAGTATTGCTTCCTGAGAATACTGGTTCTCTCCTTAGGTGGAGGAACTTCCACATAGGCATAAAATTGTTCTCCCATTTGGAAGAAGGTATTGCCTTTATGACTACCTGGATCAAGTGTAGAGGAAACTGTTGGGAACTTAGCTATCTTCCCTTTACTAGATAATTCTACCAATGAAATCCTTCATCAGAAGTGGTAGAGAATGCATCTGTGCATCTTTCACTTTCAAGGGAGTTCCAGGGGTAGGTCACTGCATTTTAGAGGGTATTAATGGTTATTCTCAGTCATTATGAAATACGCTTCTGCTTTCCAAAAATAAATTAACTTGTTCTCAGCATCCTGAGGGGAGCTAAGAGTATTGGACCCAATGTGCATGAAATATGATGTTGAGGCTCCTTTCCTAGCTTGGAATACTTATGGAGTATTGATTGCTTTGTTTTGTAGCTTCTTAAAATGGTCAATAGAAAAAGGTGTGCTGAGATCTGAAGTGGTTCAAGTAGTTTTCTCATGCAGAAGTAGGCAAAAACCATGGTTCCATCCTTCAGATCAGGGAATTGTCTTGCTTTGACAGGATTTATGGGACACCTTAATGTTCCTAGTTTTTGCACATGAATCATTGAAGTGGATGACATGAACACTTGATCCTATAAAAACTGTGCTTTGTCACTTGGGGCTTTTGACCTTCCTCTTGCAGTAGAGGACAGAGTACCAAAAAAGTCTGCAATAAAGATCCTCCCCTTTCTTCCTGACCCAAGAAAATGACATCCGTTTAGATTTTACAGGTTCAGCCTATACTGAGAGAGAGAGAGATTCAAGGCTGATGGACAGAATATCCTGATGTACGTCTTACATTACAAGAAGTGAAAACCTGATTATGCAGGGTATGACTGAAGATTTCATACCTGATGTTTTATGTTTAGTAGTGCAACTGGCATAAGAAGCTCCTGCTCTTGCAGTTCTCTCCCTCCGCTCCTTTTTCTTTCTTTTAACTTGACTTACTTTAGTGATCTGATTTATAATAACCCCAGCCCTTCAGATTGTTGCAGTGACTGAGAATTGAAGGGAGGGGAGGAATTTCTTAAGCCAGCTGCACTGCTGAAGAAAGATTATTATGAAGCTAAACCCTGAATCTGGACAGTGAAACAGGATGTGCCCTGAGGGGGAACTTCCCTTCGTCTTAGTGTTATCTAGTTGTTTGCTTCTGTGGAATCTATTCAGAAGTGGTCAGAGGTGACAACTTAGTGATTATCCTAATTTGCATATGAAAGCTCAGAGTGGAGTCCATTTGAGTGTTTGTTTCCAACAACTGACACTTGTGTTACCACTTTTCTCAGAGTTTTTAGCTAATGAAACCTAGAAAATATCAAAGCCTTTGCTTGTGAAGAAAATATCTTGTCCTCGCTCAAATTCACCAATCCGTTCTGTAGGAGAAGGTGAAAAACCCTATGGCTTTCAACTCTGTCTAAAATGAAACACAGCTGTAGGCAGCAGCAACAGCCTTAGTGTTCTCCAAAAAGGGTGGGAAAAGTCAGGAGACGGTTTAGTATTTTATAGTTTTATAGAAAATTATGCTCAGCAGGTTTATTCAATAAAATAGTCTCACCAGATACTTTGCACTATAAAGACTTAAATTGCATGCTAATTGTGCTACAGTTAAGTTACTCTATTCTTGAACGAGAGGTTTGGGACTCCTAGCATGAAGGCAACCAACGTCCACAGATTTGGATAAGTTTAACAGTAGTTTATATTAACCTAGCATTTGAGTTCAGCTTAAAATGACTGAATTACCTGGAACTGAATTGAGGACAGGAGCTAATTTTTGTGGGAGGTGGCTGGGTTAACATAAGGCTTAAAGAATATAACCCTCTTCACTGGAGGGTATGCAGATTTTGTAGTATGGCTGCGTTCATACTCTCTGTACTGTGAGCTTTTTCAGGAAAAGGCCAAGAAGCTGAAGTAAGCTTTGAACTAAGATTGATGGGTCTTTTTAGATGTCATGACTGCCCTATCATGGTCCCTGTTTCTTGCTGCTGAAGTTGAGCTCACGCTTTGGCAGGAGCTGCTGCTCTGTTTCTCCTGAATCAGTAGATGGTATGCTTTGCAGCAATCACAATGAGTTTTTCCGCTCTTGCAGATTGGCTGTTCAGTTTACAGATGCTCAAGTATGTTTCTGCTTGTAAGGCAGAAATGAACAAAGCTCTTCTCACAGCAGACAGCTCAGAGCGTGGCTCCGAGAGGTTCTTGGTCACCTTGGCGTGACCTATGCATCCCTACTCTCCTGGTTGCAGTAGAGCCCGTGGCTTGACAGGGGCTCAATCCTAACCTTTCTGTGTTTCAAGAAATAACAGTGGTCAGTCTGCTGATTAGATCATGTGGTTTCCAGTCTCTGCATGTGAACGAGGCTTCTGGGGAAATCATTGTCCGATTACGCTGAGATGCCAGAATGCATAAAAAAGCCACTGAGTCTCTGTACCGTTCCATATTTTTTTTAGCACTAACATGCAGATTAAATGACACAATAACCTTTGATATTGCTTTATGAGACTTCAGGTATTATTTTCGAAACCTTCATGGATTTGCCAGAGCCCTGCTTACTGCATTTTAGGATGTTCTAAAACACTCTCTGCTAGGATAAAAAGATAAATTACTGAAACAGATTCCTGATGTCATCTTGAAAGTTCAGTGTAAACAAGGCCATTTGTAATGCACTGGGAAACGTGGGATAGGTTAGGCATTCATGGGACTGCATAATTAAAGCACAGTGCCTTTACTCCACTGCATCTGGAGAACTTAGCATCATACCTCTAAGTCTGCGTCTGGATGGTATCCCTGGGATGTTCTCAGTACAGTGCTCGTTGATCACAGTAGTATGCAATACTGCGGCAAACTCTGGGAATTCCCCGCTGCATATGGCATTTTTATGCATCAGTGTTATCTATCTCACCTGTTTGCTTTAGATTGCTTTGAAATGAGGTGTCTATGAGCTGAAAGCAGGTTGCAACCTTTTTACTTGGTCCTGGGCAGTCCTTGCTGTAATAGTCTGATTTCATCCGAAGTTTCTGCTTGCTTCTGTCTTGTTGCAAGTGTCAGTCCCTCTCTGCTGCATGTCATTTTTGACCAAGAGCTTAGCTATGTCCTCAAATTTAGCTATTTGCTTGTATTCTGAAAGCACCTCCTGAGCATGGCTGACTTCACTTGCCTGTCCGCAGTAATACCAATGGCAAGTAACAAGGAGAGAATCTGTGCTTGGTGTAGGGGACAAATTATGATAGTTGTTTTCATACATAAGCCATTCAGAGCCTTCTCATCTGAGATCTGTGATCATCTGACTGACTGTGCTGTCCTACCTGGGGAGGAAGTAAAAATAGGATCCTGTAGGCATCCTTTATGGTCTTGGATAGCATCCATCCATTCTGCTCTGCTTCTGTCAGCCTTACCAGGTTTTGCTGGGAAAGATGAATTGATACATCATGAAGAGAAGGACGCAGAGAACCTTTTTGGGCCCTACTTCAGTGACTATGAAGCAGATGTGATCTCTTGCACGGTAGCAGCAGATCCATTGTATCTTTAGGTTTCGAGTCTTCACTTGATGCCTTGAGGTCTGTCAGTCCTGCCTCATTACTGTGAGAAGAGCTCATTTTAGCTTCACAGAAGCCCATCTTATTGCTGTCTTCTCCCATCAGCAAGGGGCATCTCAGTACATATTGTTGGCAGATTAGAAATGGCATCTGAGTGCTCATTTGGAGGTTAGCAACTTGACGGCTTGGAGAGAGACACAAAGTGGAAAGGTGGCTATCTGGTACTGTACTGGGAGACAGATTAATGTTGAAAGGATGGCTATGGTTTAAAAAAATAAAGACTGTAAAAAGGCATCTTGAAACTGTACTTTTCTTCTAATAGCTAGCTACTTAATTTACTGGCACAAAATAATCTTGCTCCTCTGTCGAGACGGGCTGTTATAACTGCTGCCTTCTCTAAGTAATCAAGACAACAGTTTCCTGGGTTCTGCACCTGTTATCATCATGATTGGATCAGAATACAGAACAGAAACAGGCTTCGTTTTCTGCTCTGGCAATTCAAACTTCTTGCCTGTTGAGGTTTTTCTGTTCAGGAATTTCTGGGCACAGTAGCCAATATGCCTCTGTGTGGTGAGTAAGTGAGCACTGGTTTTGGGAATGAGTGCCTTGTCCTCTTTCTTGAATGAAGTGTTTAAATATTTCAGTCGATGGATTCCTATCTATCTCTTACTAGCCCAACTCAAAATTGTTTACCAGATGTGATCATATTCATTCAGTCTGGCAGGGATGTAGGATGAGGAAAGTCACTACTTGCACAGAATTGGAATTCTTTTCACTGGCAAGAACTTCCATGCAAGTTCTGCCCAGTCATGCCTGTGCCCATGATTTTGAGAGCTAGGAGTAAATTACAGTTAAGTATAATGCTGAAGTATGAATTATCTGGTGCTAAAGCATCCTGTAGTGCAGCAAATGCCGTTGACTTTATGGCATTGATAACTAGACACTCTTCTTAAAATGCGACTTGTTCTTCCATTGGCAAGCTAGATTTCTGGGAGGAGAGCAAAAGGATTGCCTTATGTATGCTGTGATCTGCTTTTTCTTTCTTGGGGGGCAGCTGTAAATAGCAGTGATTCTAAGTCATTTAGGTCTTAGTTGGACTTCCGTATAAGTGTCCATTGCATTCTCTTCAGTGAGAAGTGTACGGAGTTAACTTTTCTTCTTATGCCTAACAGACTCTACCTATAATTAGAGCACTTGGCTTGAAAAACAGGAAAATTTGGTAATCTAAATCGGCTTTGGTACTGGTGACCTAGTGTGTATTTGCCTGGAGCATGTGCACGTAGAGGAAGTACTTCTTGTTGAGCATTACAGGTAGAGTGCTCTTGCTGGTGGTGGCTCTAATGAGAAAATATTGCTCTATTGGTGTGTGCCCACCTGCCAGACTGCTGCATAATAAATCATACAATCTGCAGCAAGCTAGTAGGGTCTGACAAGGTGTTTGGGGGGTGCGCCAAAGATCACACGCAACTTCAGTTATTTTGGTATGTTGGTGTCTATGAAAACGGATGGCAGGTTCACTCTTGGTGGGCCTTTCTCAGGAGAAACTGTTCCGAGTTTATTGCCAGGTAGGTTTTTCCAGTGTTTTGAAGAAAATGCTCTGTTTGAACAAGAAAATTGGAATGACCTCTTCTTTTGTACACCTGGAATCCTTTTGGGCAGCTTTCTCTCTAACGTAATAGTGTATACTCTCCAGTGTGCTGTGTGTGCAGACAAAGAAAGAACTGTAGCCATTCCCACAGAAGCCTGTGGTCCTCTGATAATTTATACCAGCTGAAGGTTTGACCTCATTAGTATTCCTAAGAAATGAAGTTGGAAGAGCAAGACTGGGGACGGTAAAACTATACTTGTGCGGAATCGTTTAGACCTCTTTTCTCATTCATCAATTGATAAGAAACCTGGACTTCTGATAGATAGATCTTTGAGTCTGCTGGAATTGTATTCTGCCCCGCTTAATAGCGCCCTCGAATGGCTAGTAAAAGAGCAGGTTTTCTGTTCCATTTTGACAAAACTTATAAATAAATACATTGACTTATTCATCTGTCGTATTCACGGTCTCTAGTCACTCAGTTTAGAAAATGTAATTTGTGTGTTTAAATTAAAATTTTAGTTTGCAGATGGACACACTTCACAACCAGCAAAGGCAAAAGCTCATTCATAATTGAATTGTTTTGTGAAGGTAAATGAATTAAAATAATCTTTTTAGAGAGAAATTCATAGATGTTAATGTTTTGGCGAACACAGCATTTCTTAAGAAAACTCAGATTTCACCAAAACTTTGCCATCCTTAAAGGAAAGAATACTGAGAGACAGTCATCACAATGAAAAGAATGTGTTGCTTTTCAGGACATGGTACGTCGAGGAGAGATAATAGACGATGACATGGAAGATGAATTCTATCTCCGTCGCCTGGATGCTGGTCTCTTTGTTCTACAGCTCATTTGTTACATCATGGCGGAAATCTGTAATGCCAATGTTCCCCAGGTAAAACTATCACATAAGGTCGGCAGGATCACCTGTGTTTTCATCCATGATACAAAGCAAGCTCTAAATCCTTACATATGTTCCCTCACTGAATGTTTTTTTTCTTAATTCTCTTTGGAGGGAAGCATCCTCTTTATTGCACTTGTATCCATACAGCTTCATCAGGCATAGCAATTAGGAGGGCATTAATAGGTACGGAAGCTGATCATTTTCATCACTGAGCTCATGTAGATCTGCCATGAGCAAGGCTACAGTTTGAAATGGAAATACGCTGTTTGTATCACTTCTGGAAGAGTAGTGGAAGGGGATATTTTCTAAGAAAGTCTTCCAAAGGCACAAACTAAAGCAGGTGACTTTCTTGACCCATGCAGAATACTGCATCTCTGCTGGTTTGAATACGTTGGGGTTTGTGAGTATGTTACACTGCTAGCTGCGTCTGTGCCACATACCTTCCTGAATGTTCCGAAGTAAGTGCTGTAGGACTGTGGACTAGGAAGGCTGAGTTGGGATTTGTGGTGTTCAGGGTTACTGCTCTTCCCTCAAAGCAAATGGAAGAAATTGGGATTGTATGTGGGGTTTTTTGTTGTGTTGAAGATGACTTTCTTCTCTTTCCTGTCCCTCAATTAGATTCGTCAGAGAGTCCATCAGATTCTGAACATGAGAGGCAGCTCCATTAAAATCGTTCGACACATCTTAAAGGGTGAGTAGAGGCGTTCCTGCTCACGTGTCTCATCCTCTAACAGGAATAACTTGGTCATCACTATTCAGCATGAGCCTTCATGCCTCTAATTCTCCTTGACTTCCTGAGCACCTTGGGCAGCAGTTGAGGAACACTGAGATCTGGGCAGGGCCGGAGTCACCCTTGTAAGAGGCAAGCTTTACTTTGGAGTTTGGGCCCTTGTCTGCTGTCAGTGCAGTGTCACGTAACACCACCTCAGTCCGTGCTACCATCAGCCGCAGACTGACTCGGATTTGCTGCTGACATTAAGGCTAGAGTAAATATTTAAGGGAAGTGGATATGCATGCTAGGTGGAAGAATAGTGGAGTTTCGTCTTTCATTAACGTGGCCTTGCACTTTACCATCTGCACCATGTTAGTATCCGTGGTGTATTTGTCTTGTTCTTAGTGTCAGATTAATGTGGATTATCGCATTAGAGTATCCTCTCTATAGCTTTATAATGTAGCTGTTGTGATTTGCAATCCCAGTTTTTCAAGTACTGCTTGTTATTTTTAATGCTTGTGTTGGATTAGGGCAATGTTTATTTGAGCTCTGGCTCTCAACCGTAGCTTGCCCTCCTCCAGCAGAAACAGTCAGCTGAACTTCGGATCGAGAGGACAGGACTCAGAACTCTCTCCACAGCCCCCTCTGAGTTGTGAGAACTAGCTGTTAATGTGCCACCCACAGGAAATGCCTTTCCTTATTTAGCAGTGGGTTGTACTAGGGCTGTGCTGTTTTCTGGGAGGCTGTGCTGTTTTCTGAGAGGGGTAGGGAGTTCCTCTCTCCTGGGCTCTGGCTTGTGCTGTTTGGATTTCTCTGCTTTCTTTGGGGATGAGAACGATGCTCCCAACACTGGGAGGGAAAGACAGGGTTTTTTTTTTTTCCTTGATCCTCCTTTTCCTTCCATCCCATATGCAGGAAGGAAGAGCAGGATCAGAAAGCTAGCTGGTATGAAGAAATTAAGTTTTCTGACAGTGTGAGATTACCTGCAGCTATAGGCAGTATCTAATACCTGCTGATGAATGGTGTAACACCATTGTTGTTTTGGACAACAAGTTAAACGTGAGCCAGCAGTGTGCCCTTGTGGCCAAGAAGGCCAATGGTCTCCTGGGGTGCCTTAGGCAGAGTGTTGCCAGCAGGTCGAGGGAAGTGATCCTGCCCCTCTCCTCAGCCCTGCTGAGGCCTCACCTGGAGTACTGTGTCCAGTTCTGGGCTCCCCAGTACAAGAGAGACATGGCACTCCTGGAGAGAGTCCAGCGGAGGGCTACCAAGATGATTAGAGGGCTGGAGCACCTTTCCTATGAAGAAAGACTGCAAGAGCTGGGCCTGTTCAGCCTGGAGAAGAGAAGATTGAGAGGCGATCTCATCAACGTGTATAAGTATCTGAAGGGGGAGTGTCAAGAGGATGAGGCCAGCCTCTTCTCCGTGGTGCCCAGCAACAGGGCAGGAGGCAACGGGCAGAAACTGAACCACAGGGAGTTCCATCTGAACCTGAGGAAAAACTTCTTCACTGTGAGGGTGACAGAGCATTGGAACAGGTTGCCCAGAGAGGTCGTGGAGTCTCCTTCCCTGGAGAGATTCAAAAGCCGTCTGGATGTGATCCTGGGCAATATGCTCTAGGTGACCCTGCTTGAGCAGGGAGGTTGGACTAGATGATCTCCAGAGGTCCCTTCCAACCTAAACGATTCTGTGATTCTGTAACTAGACAGGATTTTTTTTTTCCGCTCTTTATTGTGCCAGTTGACAATTCCTGCCTCCAAACTGTCCATTGCCAACTTGGTGCATGATGCATGTCCTCTTTTAGATTCCCAAGCTTGGCCTGGGCCACAGGTACCTGAGGGATTAGTCTGCACACCTCCCGTTCACTCCTTGGATTTGTTGATTTTACATGTTAAGCAACTGCCTTCCTGAACTGGAAGGCAGTTGCATTAAAATTGCATAAGATTCCTTCTTTCGCAGACAATGCGACTTGCGAGACGTTATAATACCATTAAAAAAGTTTCACAACGCAAGTTGCTTGTGGAAAGTATGACTTGTACAGCAGTCCTAGTAGTCTCGAAATTGATGTGTCATCATCTTAAAGAGGCCACAAATGTCATGTTAATACAGGTGATGGATACAGCTTTTGAGACTCTCTTCAGCTCTGCCCCAACTCACTCACTTGTCAGTTTTAGAGACTTGTGCCATTGTAAGTATCAGTAATCTTAGAAGTAGATTTGTTGGTGGACCCTTGTGAAATGATCACATTTCTAGCAAGTAGGGATAGCAGTTTAACTGCAATCCTTGCTGGTGAAATTTAGACTTGTCAGTAGTTGCACACCTATGTCTAAATATCTTGTTGGTGTAGATTGACCAAGTTAACAGGAGTTACACCATGGACAAATACTTGGCTCTGCAGAGGAGTGAGTTGGTTGAAACACAGCTTGCCAACTGGAATACTGGGCTTGATTGTGGACCCCGAAAGTGTGCCACCCAGAGAGACTGTGGGCCCAATGGGGGATTTCTGAAAATTTAATTGTTATATGGAATACAGGACTCTGTTGCAAATGACTGAGCGTGCTACTGTATCACTGTCCCTTGAGCCTTGGCTGAAACATTTCCAGGCCAGTTTTCAACTTGCTCTCAGAATAGATGAGGGCTGGTTTATTTTTGCTTTTCCTTCAGTGTTTTGCTCTTGTTCACTTTTTATTTTCTATTTTTGCATACTAATTAGATGCTTGGGTTTTAGTTTGATTTTTATGGCCTACATATTCTCCATGTTTCTCTGGCAACCTGACAGCTGATGGATCCCTTGGGGTTGCTAAGAATTACTTATGATGCAAGTGAGGCAGCAGGGCTGTTTTCTTATGGTAGTACTTTCTAGGGGGAGGAGTGGGCAGGGAATAACTGAAGGCTCATTAAATACATTTCTGCAGGCTGACCAGTCCTCCAGCAGTGTGTGTTGTGGGGTTTTTTTGTTTTTGTTTTTTGTTTTGTTTTTTTTTTTCCTTGAAGATCAAGCATTGCTTACAATGGGATGGTTAGTTTATCCTTTGGAATAAAATGACTGGATGGCACTTGTCTTGGCTAGGAGGGTGTTTTTGGGATGGAAACTGATCTTCATAACAGGAAGTGCTATCTGTGTCTTGAGGCAGTTCTTGGTCTCAATCTCTCTCATTGCGAATGGAGTGAGACACAGACCTCTATAAATAGGGATACTTGGCCTTGGAACGGGATAGCGTGCTGATCTAGAGAGGCTTGTCTTTTGTGCCTTCTCCCCTTTGCTTGCATTCTCCCCAAACACTGATTAAGCTCACTGAGTTTGAGATACCCTGCAGAGCTGTTGTCAGAGGAGCCATGTAGGAGTTAAGGTATGGAGGTCTATATCCAGACATACTGACTTGTAATGTCTGGTTAAACCCCTGGTTTCAGCGAAGGTAATGGGTATGTCAGGGAGCTGGGAAGGTGGAATACCTGTCGAATGTTAAAACCAAACCTGGTACATGTGTAATCAAAAGGAAAAAGTGAATGTTTAAGGACTATGCTGAATCTGGCCTATGGTGCCTCAGTATGTGCAGGCTTTATAGTTTCCAGTATCCATTACAAGCTTCAGTATTTCCCTATTGATTTTGACTGTTCTGTGACCATTGTATTTTGTCTAATGAAGCAGAAACCAATCTTAGGTCCTTTCCCTTTGTGTAGCTGCAGAAATGACTAAGCTCTGTTTAACAGAGCTTAACAGAGTAAGCTCTGTTTGTTGGCAAAGAGGGAGTTTACATTTGAATATTGCTATCTCACTTAAGTGGTGGAACTTTAAATAAAAAGTAAATACATAAAACCACAGTGGGTGATGACTTTTTTCTTTTAAGCCTAATTCAGGACATGTAATCTGGTCTTTTCAAATTGACGTTAATAGCTGTTGGTAACCCAGTAAACAGTCTGGCAGGGGGTCACTTGGATTTTAGTCTTATGAAACCTAAATATTTAGAAGGAAAAGTGCTGAGCTTTTGGAAAAGATTTGAAGAATTTGTGGCTTCCTTTTGCCTGAGTGGTCTCACTGAGGCAACAGAAGGGCATTGTCATTAGTGGCGCTCTGCAGTTTCACTGTTTGAGTTCTATGTTCAAATACGTTCACAGTCCTTAAAGCAGAAATCTTCGCTGGACCACGACCTCACTGCCTTCTGTGTTGTAGAGTCTGCCACGCCGTAGAGAATCACCTAGAGCTCCCTGCCTGAAGTCAGGGGCTCCAGTCCCCTTGGTGCTGTCCCAGCGTTGTGCTACGAGGCAGGAAACTGAAAGATAAAGTCCCTTCTTTCACTTGGGTTTTTGAACTCTCGGGATGTAGTGGTAGTCAGGAAAGTGTTGCCCTTGGGCTGCAATAAACAAAGGCAATTGCAGTTGCCGCATCTGTTTCGGAGGCGCTTTCACTGTGCTTTGTCAGAGTAAGGGCTTGTTTGGGGAGTGAGCTTGTTCCTTTGCCATGCGTCCCTGAGGGAGCGAGGCTGTTCTACAGAAAGCTCTCTGATACTGCCAGAAGGTGACAGGAGAACTGGAGCTGAGCACTCTTCTTAGCTGGCACTTTTTCCTGGGAAAGTAACCCTCTCTTTTCCGCACTGGATTTTTATCTCCCACAAGATGTAGATAGCAGGTTAGGATCCCACTGACACCGCGATACAACCCTTTGCTAAGTCATGCAAATATGTGATGGAGAGCTTCGCAGCAGAGATGAGGCCTGGGCCCGTGGGGCCCTGTCTTTACTCCATTAGCAATACATAAATAACTCGCTGAATGCTCAGTGCATGAGCTCAGCGCAGCTAGAGCAAGATCAAATCCACTAGCTTGCTGCTTTCTTTGTTACACTGTGATGGAGTGTTTTCCTTCCATCTGAAGGAAGAGGGTTCCTTGTGCTTGGCCCTCTTCTCGCAGTACTGAGAGGAAGTCAGATTCACTTGCAGCAAACCTTAGTGTTCCCCACCTTCTCTTGTTACAGATACTGTAGCAGTTTATAAATATTAAAAGGATTTCTCCCAGAGGCCTTGGCAAAGAACTCTGCTTTTTGTACATGGAGAGAGAGGGAGTGCACACATGAGGGAAGACGCCCACATCAGCTAACTTCTCCCTGTCCTCACTCTTTTCAATGCTCTTATGATAAAGGCTTTGATGGAGCTCAGAAGCATGTAGCAGTGCTGAACGTATAAATATTAAAGCAAACTTTCTACAGCAACTTACCATTCAGATGCTGAACACAAGCTGTTCTGTTTGTTTAGGAAAAAGGGAAAGAATGAGAGGAGGTGGAGGCTGGAAAACACTGTCTAACCAGGCAGTCGTCTTGTGTTTTACTAAGATTTGTTCAGGTCCTTGCTTTTGCAACTCAAAGCCTGCTCTTCATTTTTTCTTTTTAAAGCATTTTTGAACATGCAGATTTTGGTGGCAAGAAGGAAAGAGCAGATAAGGGAATGAGAGCTGCCTGCTTTAAATGACTGTCAGGAAGTAGCTAGCTACAGAGGAAGTTGCTGTCCTACGGTGTTTGGTCATGTACGTGGATAGGCAAGCACTTGATCAGGGTCCAGTATCATCTACCTGAAGACAAGAAGCTTGCTTTGTAGTTAACTCTAAATTGGTGTTTTTTCTTCTATATGGGTTAAGCACTCATAGATTGAGGGATTGGTCTCCTCTTGATAAATTGTACAAAAATCCTTATCTAGGTTTCCTGGAAAACGAATGAGTTAAAGGAGGACTGTTTTTAATATTTATTATTATTAACGAATGTGTAACAGCAGCTGTCTGCCCTTCCTTGATGATATTCGGTGTTAAAAGGAGCCTGAAAAGCCAGTGATGTCCAGGACTCTTTCTTTCTTAGGTTGAAAGAGGCTGGTGATATGACTGTCCAGTTCAAATAATTGCCAGTGGGCTCTTTCTTTCAGGTAATAAGAAAAGTGGGAGGAATGTCTAAATTGTCACTGTCTAAGTGATTAGACTCTGGAGAATGCATTCCGTCTCAAGTGCTAGTGTCTGCTTAGGTTTGTTGTGCTGCTTAATGATGAGAGAACAGCATGTTCCTTTTAAAGTCTCTGTTCCCTACAAAAGCTTTTCATGAGGGGTCAGTAGATGTTTAACATGCAAAGCTTTAACCCCGAGGAGGGGAAGAATCCATCAGTGCTCCTTACATAAATTCCTATTCAGTTGTTTGCAGTGGACACAGATTTAGATTCTGCAGTGATATCTCTGCAACAGATATTGCCCATCTTTCATTAGTATCGTACTCAAAACATGCTTTTTTTTTTTTTTTTCTTCCTCTCTTCCCTGCAGAGTATGCAGAGAACATTGGGGATGGGAAGAACCAGGAGTTCCGGGAGAGTGAGCAGAAACGAATCTTGGACCTGCTGGACAATTTCTGAGGACTCGAATTGAATTCTGGTGCCCCCCCCCCCGAGAACACAGCTTCTGGGTTCCCTTTCCTTCAGCTGACCTCTTCCAACCTTGATTGCACGATAGAAGTGACGTTTCTATGAAACCACTTCTAAATAGGATTTTGGAGATATTAAAGACAGTTTTTTTTTTAATTCCTTGTTTGTTATTTAAGTAGTGTAATGTGAGTGGGATTACGGATGCGTGCCTTGCAGTAGGGCAGCTCAAGATCTTTGTCTTTCCTTCCCTCCTTCCAAGTCAAGCTCCTGTGATCAGAGCATGAAAGAATGTGACAGCATACCCCTTAGAGGAACAGTAAAGAGGAAGCCCAGATAGCTCGAGAGAGTGTTAGCATGTTACTCCAGCCTGATATGTGAATGAAAATGTGCAACCCACCGTACTGATGTAAACTTGGGAGGCTGAAGAGTTGATATGTGTCTAGTTCAACTGTTCTTCAGTGGTTTGGCAGCCTCTGGCAGAGGGCAAACCAGGAATTATAACCATTAGCCATTCCTACTAAATATTCCCAAAGATGAGTCAGAACCAAAGGTATGTTTTGTCACAAGGCTGTTCAAGCTGTTACCCCTCCTTAAGTGGATGTTTGATTCTGTCCAGGTTACACTCGGATATAAAACTAAAGGGGAAGGTAAGTAATCAATAAAACACCCACATTTCCTTGACTTCTCTTCCTTTTTCAGTCTGTTTTAGGCCTTGGCTGTAGTTGTTCTGCAAGAACAGTGTTCTGATCCTTGAAGGGGCAGTCTGACTTTTTATAGCAACGATAAGTTCACCGCTAGCAAAGGGAAAACCCCAGTAATGCAGGCTTCTCCAGGTGCACTGTGGGAGTTGCAGAATGACCAAGTGAATTGCCTCTGATTTGTTGATTGCAATGAAGCAGATCATAGTTCGTTTTTCTCTTGCCCTCTGCACTTGCAGTGTAACTTCAGATGTGGGCCTGCCAAACCCTGCCACTTCCCTGAACAATGACTCCTAACTGGACAGGAAATAGCTAAGAATATTTTTTTTCATCCCTTTTTCTTTTGCGTAAGTTAATGACTCTCATCACAAAACAGCTCCAGCTTGCAGCTCCAGCAAGGTGGGCCTCGCCTAATTTAGATTTTAATGCTGGCAGCATTTTTTTGTGTTATTTTTTTTTAATCTCTGAGAAGAACGTATTGTCAGGGAAGCTTAAAGGCCTCCTTCAGTCATGACTTCAGTGGGCACTGCTGGCCTGGGTAGTATCAAATGCCATTATTCGGGGGATCAACATGAAGGTCATGGTTTCAGCAGGCACAAAAAGCTGCAAAAATACATTTTTTGGTGCAGAACTTGTTTGAATTCCTCATTTTTTCTTTTTTTTCCTTCTATTTTCAACTCTGTTCCTTAAAGAGTTTTTGGTTTTGTTTTCTTCTGTTGGAGATGGGTTCCGTTTTTGGCTTTATTTGAACCTTTGAATTCTTCCCTTTCCATACCACGGACAATGAATTTATGTTCAACGTTGGTCTCTTTCTGGAAAGACTACCTGTTGGTCCTTGTTTTATAATGCACTTGCATTTAAAAAGCAGAGAAGAAAGGGAGGAAATATAAGGAGGGAATTTTGAGGAAAAAATGGAAGGAGGAACTTAACGTGCAATAAGTTTGGCTGAAAAGTGGAGGCCACATGCCTGTAAAAAAAGGGAGAGAAGTGGGGATGTTCTTGAAAGGAGTAATATAAGCTTCTCGAGTGCAGTGCTAAGTTCTTAAATGTCCGTTCTTTGGTCTGATTTCACTCAAGTTGCTGCACATACATTAGTATATGCTTGATCACTTCTGTAGGCAGTTGTTGAAGCAGTGCAAGGTGCACCATGCAGGATCACAGCTCTGAGCCTAGCTCCTGTCATGTGGGGATGACTTTCAGCTGTGTTTCTGGCAGGAATAAAAATATCCCTGCTGTCTTACTGCTTAGGCTAGAGTTTTACTTTTTCTGAAAGTAAATTTCTTTCTCTTTAATGTTTTCCATTCCAATTGTTTTAGCTGAGTTACTAAATGTGGAGACTCTGGGTTGAAAATAATTCCCTGGTAATGGCTGGACTGCCAGCTTTGCAGGAGCAATGCTTTTAGAGGAAGCTTAGACTGCTTATAATGCATGTGCTTGTTTTTAAGACAGCTTTTCTTTGATTTTTTTTCTTTTTGTAATTTGTTAGCTCTTCAAAGTGCTTCACCAAATCTTTTAAGTCTCTAGATAGTTCCCTGAAAGAATTGGTACTGAAGCAGTGGTGGTGTGTACCCTACCCTGTGATTATGTGGGGGTACTGCTTATTTTGTCAGGATGAAAGTAACTCTTGGGGCAGGTACTTGATGTGAGAAATTAGGCCTGAGCTTTAACAACCCTATTTTGGTAGTTATGAGGTATTTTTCTTCCGAGGTTTCTTCATTTGCTTGATATAAATCATTTTCACAGTAGTTTGTCTCAGTAAACTCTTGCCATGAATATTCAGGTCAAGGGAAAGTGGTTGAAAGAAATCAAACGTTCTGTTCAAGGAAAGGTTCATGGAAATGCTGTGACATGCTGGTTTGCTGGACTCTCAGGACCTTCTGGCATTGTTCTTCTGGGCCTGCTGGAGGCTCGCAGTTTCAGTACTTGGTGCTTTTCCCTGAGTCAGGATAAGAGTTCCCATTTGGAATGGGGATAACAGGAGGTTGGGGGCTTCAACTTGGGTATCATCGCAAATAGCGTGCTCTGTGCCTAGCAGTACTGAGTGCAAAGGTGTGCTCGGGGCATGGGGCAGCTGTTGTCAACACCACTGCCTCATTTCTATTAGAGCTGCTGCAGGAGTAGCTGGAAGCCTGTACCGCGGTGTAGTGTGAGTCAGAGAAGGCCCAGAGGGAGCACAGGCTTTTGCCTGAGAGCCAGGCCAGCTTCCGGACTGGGGGGTGCGATGCCACCTCCTACTGTGCTCCTCATGGTTCCTGCAAGGCCGTGGCCAGTTTAGCGGAGCATGGTCCTGCCCTGGTTGTGCTTCGTCATGCAGCTTTCCGCAGCCTTGGTCCTCCAGAGGGATAATCCTTGTGCTCCTGTGCTGTCTTGTTGCAACAGATCCTGTGCTGATCTGTTAACTGGCTGCTTCATTATCTGACCAGACGGACCATCCTGGGGAGTCTCTTCAGGAATGACAAAGTGGCCTGATTGCAACGCCGGCTTACGCACCAGCGGAGCAGACTTGGCTTAGAAGAAAGAATGCATTTTGCAGGTTTTTTTTTTTTTTTCTTCCTGAGCTGAAGGAAATATCTGAGGGGATTATAAAAAGCTAAAATGCCAATGCTTACCTGAGCACAACGCAATCTTTGTGTCTCTCCTTTGATAAATAAGGATGCTCCAGATGTTGCTGAGAAATTAGCACAGAGCTTGTTATTGCCAGTCAGGCTCTTAGAAGACAGATGAATTATTCTTTTCTCCCAATCTCCAAAGTGTTTCAGAAAGGAGGAACCCCACTGCACAAAAGTTAGGATCCTCTATCTGGTGGTCTCTGTATAGAGAAGAGACTGAAAGCAGCTCCTTGCCCTGTTTGGGACATGTGGAAACCTGTTATCGTGTACAAAACCCTGGTAAATCAAGAAAGAAAATCCAGTGTCCCTGAGGACTGATGCATGTTAGGGAGTCACGCTGTTGCATGAGGGTCCTGAATACTCAGTACCTAGTCACCACCCCATGCACAAAGGGAAGTTCAGAGCTTCCCTGCTTCTTTCTTCACCCGCTGTGTTCAAAGGGCTGTTTGTATCCAGGGGTTGGCATCTGGGTTTGCATTACCACTCTTGATGCCTGTGCCTGCACAACTGCCTCCTTCATAAAGACTTTCAGCAGATAAATAGTAAAATTTCATGAGGGGAAGGAGATGCCCTGAAAGAGGGTGATGACCAGTAGGGTGCAATCTCAGTTTGGGACACGGGAAGCTAGGCTTCCCAAAAGCAGACCAGTACCTTGGGGTAAGTACTTGGCTTCATTCTGCTCCCCTGGCCGTAGTGGAACGGCTTGGAGAACCTCTTTGGTGTGCGGGGAAGCCACACAGCTGCATGGAGACCAGGCAGTCCTGCTGTGAGAAGCCAGTTCCTCTGGCTTGGTCATTGGGATGGGCTGGATGCCCACTTGGGCCCTGTGTTATTAATTAAGATAATTATTCAGCTTAATGTGCTGCTGCTGCAGGCCAGCTCATTTTTGCTCTAATGTTCAGCAGCACAGAAAAGCCTTGGAGGTACGAAGACAGGCGCCATGAGTCTTAGCAGCTGTGGTGAATGTCATTATTGTAATTGGGGGAGGATTAAAGGGTTGAGCTAATAACAGATTTTCTTTGCGAAGCGTTTGTAGGTTGTAGACAGTAGGATTTGTTCTCTCGTTTAACCTATTCGGATTATTTTTGTCCGTGGGTTAAGGTTCAGAGGGCAGCGCAATCGTTGCTGGCTTTTGGGCCAAGTGTTTGTTGTGAAGGGAGAGCGGGGGGAGGCGGCGAGACCCCGAGCGGCCAAGAGCCCCTGTC